TTGAGCAGTCATTGGATACATTGGATACGTTGCATTATCGCCTCTGCAGACCTGCCTCCGGCAACACGTCACCTCCGGACGTGGATTCTATAGGCTTACGCCACATCCGCCGACCCCTCTATAAACTACTGCGCGCCTAGGACTGCATTCCACGAGGCTTGTCCGATTCCTGGGAGGTTCTTGGGGGCGTTTGGGGGCTCTGTTCGGGCTCCCTTGGGGCTTCTTGGGGCGTGTTGGGGGCTTCTAAAGGCAACCTGGGGGCGTCCTGGGGCCGAAGGCTGGAAATGTGGGTTCGGGTTCCCCGCGTGGGCCCCTTTGGGCGCCGTCCGGGGGCCCTCTGGGACCGTCATCAGGGCTTCTTTGGCGGTCTTGGGACCCTGGTGGGCCGTCTTGGAGCTGTCCTAGGGCGGGGTCTTTTGGGCCGTCTTGCACGGTATGAAAGCGCAAGAGGCGAATATGTTTAAAACATACGTTTTACGACGGGAATTTCCTACGGGAATGGCGCAATTTTCGCTTCTTCGGTCTGGATGCTATCTTGGGCGTCTTGGAACGATCATTCGACGATTCGGGGCCCTCTTGGATCATCTTGGGGCCCACTTGGGGCCTTCTTGGCCCGTTTTGGGGTCCTTTATGCTCCCATGGCGCGTTCGTCAAGGGCCGGGGGGTGGGTGAAGTCTGCGGTTTGGGGTCCCTGGGGGGGGATATGGGAGGGGAACAATCTCACACGCCTAGAGACCCACAAGGTGTCGGCGGATTTTGCATTTTTCACTCCTCGCCCAATTTTCTAAGTTTTTGTGGCGAGTTTTTTTGGGGCCATTTTTCATTTTTCGTCCAACATTCACCTGTAGGAGGACACGCCCGACCTAGCGTTAAGTCGGGCCTGTCCCCCTACAGGGGGATTTTCGGCGAAAAATAAAAAGCATACCCCCAGACTACCCCCAAAAAGGTAAAACAAATCAAACATAGTCACCAGACTATTTTTGGATTATTTGTTAATGATATTTTTTGGGTATTTTTATTTTTCGTCCAAAATCTCCCTGTAGGGGGACGCCCGACCTGGCGCGCGGGCGCACGGGCGCCCGAGGCGCGCCAGGGCGCCGGGGCCCCGGGCGTGCGCGCCGCGAGGCCCGCCGTGGGCGCCCCGCGCCCCGAGGCCCCCCCACCCCCCAGGGACAAAGGTGCCCAGCGGTCGTTGAGAGTAGGTGCTGCTGGATTCCATATGGAGGAGGAGGAGGAGGAGGAGGAGGAGGAGGAGGAGGAGGAGGGGGAGGAGGAGGAGGAGGAGGAGGAGGAGGAGGAGGAGGAGGAGGAGGAGGAGGAGGAGCAGGAGCAGTGCAACGCTGCCTGAGACCCCCCAATGACAATATGCCCATCGGTCGTTGACGGTGCCACACCAAAGCTCCATGGACGTCCTGGGGTCTCGGGGTTGGGTTTTTTGTTGAAGGTTTCTCGTGTTCGAGCCCCTACCGTAAGGGCCACCTCGGGCTCGGGAGGGGCATATCCTCAGACACAGGTCGCGGAGGCTCCTTGTGGCCGAGGCTCGCCGTGGCCAGAAAGGCCCCTCCGTTCCCCACTCCGCGTTGCGCTGTGGCAGCACGGTGACTCTATTCCTCTCCCAGGTGATGGGCCGATTCCCCACCACCACCACAGGTAGGTCGGATGAGGAGGAGGAGGAGGAGGAGGAGGAGGAGGAGGAGGAGGACCTTCCAATCCTCCCTTCTCCCCCGTCCTACCTATGGTGGTGGTGGTGGTGGTGGTGGTGGTGGTGGTGGTGGTGGTGGTGGTGGTGGATAACATAACAGGCCCACCACCAGGAAAGACCCATCCCCAAAGAAGGAAAGACCCATCCCCAAAGGAGGAGGAGGAGGAGGAGGAGGAGGAGGAGGAGGAGGAGGAGGAGGAGGAGGACCTTCCAATCCTCCCTTCTCCCCCGTCCTACCCATGATGGTGGTGGTGGTGGTAATGGAAAACAGGCCCACCACCAGGAAAGACCCATCCCCGACGAAGGAAACAACTGCATAAGCATGCTGTCTCGGAGGTGGCCGCCCCTCTAGCGCCGCCCCTGGCGCGCGCTCCGCGCGCCACGGAGGGGGTCTAGCGCCGATCCAAGAACTCTCCACAGACCTCAGAGAGGGCAACCATTGGTCGTTGAAAGTAGGCATTTCTGGATTCCCAGGTTCCAATCTACTTCAAGCGCCTTCCTGCTTCGATGATCGAGTGAGTGGCTTCACCTTTTCCATCCTCCTTAGGGGGCGTGTGGAACCCAATCTACTTTCAACGCCTTCCTACTTCATGCTTCTACCTACCCCTTCCGACCGATGGGCACGCAGGGCTCACGCCCCAGGGCCACGGCCCAATGTTCCTTGTGAATTGCGCTGGGTTCGCGTTCTCAGAGCCGCGATCCCTCGTAAACTACGCTGGCTGCGCCCGCGCCGCCAGGGGGGGGGTGCACATCACAGCGCATAGGAGGATAGGGTGCCCATACCGCTGCCCTTGCCTCGTTTTCGCCTTTTGGGGCCGCCTGGGATGCCCTCGCCGCCGCCGCTGGATTCGCCCCGAAACTCTGGTTCGATCGCACCCCCTGGGGTTTCCCATTTGCCACACCCCGCCTGGAGGATCGGTGTGACGAGACGTCCTCGGGACGAGCCTTCGCTCCCGAGGCATCTTTGGCCGCGGGCAGGGTTAGGTGGGGTGGGGTGTGGGAGGGGTTAGGTGGGGTTAGGGGGAGGGCTAATTAGGCTCAAAGGGGGGAGGCATCGACCCCGAGTCGCCCACGGATTGCCGAGAGGGGCCCGGCAGCTCGCCCCGCCCAGGAGCGTGCGGGTTCGCCAGCGGCGGCGCGTCGCCGATCTTGCGGCGACGCACCGCGGGTTCCAGCTCGACGTGCGTTCCCCCCCCTCCCTCCTCCCTCCTCCCTCCTCCCTCCTCCCTCCTCCCTCCTCCCTCCTCCCCCCTGGGCCGGTCCACCCCTATCGTTCCCCCTCGGGGGGGGGTGCGGTGGTTGGGGGCGGGCGAGGCGGGACGGACCAGGCCACACGTCAGCCCATCCCTCGAGCCCAGGTGGCTACGGATGCTGATGGTGATGGTGACTACGAATCTGATGATGGAGGTGCTGGTGATGACGATTAGGATGACGATGATGATGGTTGTGGTGGTGGTTGTGGTGGTGATGTGGTGATCGTGATGATGATGACAATGATGATGATGATGATGATGATGATGATGATGATGATGATGATGATGATGATGATGATGATGATGATGATGATGATGATGATGATGATGATGATGATGATGATGATGATGAGGATGATGATGAGGATGATGATGATGATGATGATGATGATCATGATGCTGCTGCTGATGATGATGAGGATGCTGCTGCTGATGATGATGATGATGATGAGGATGATGATGAGGAAGACGACGACGATGGCGATGATGCTGATCATGCTGCTGCTGATGATTGTGATGATGATCAATAGGATCCTGATAAGGATGGTGATGAGGATGATGCTGATCCTGCTTTTGCTGATGATGCTGATGATGATGATGATGATGCTGTTGCTGACGATGATGATTATGGCGAAGATGAGGATGAGGATTCCAATGATGATGAGGCTGATGATACTTATGATTATGACTATGATGATGATGATGCTGGTGCTGATGCTGATGGTGTTGATGCGTTAATTGAACGACGGTGATGGTAATGCTGATGTTGCTGGTGATGATGGTGGTGCTGGTGATGCTGATGGTGATGGTGGTGATGATGCTGGTGATGATGATGCTGCTGCTGATGATGATGATGATTATGATTATGATGATGATGCTGCTGATGATGATGATGAGGATGATGATGATGATGATGATGATGAGGAGGAGGATGATGATGAGGATGATGATGATGATGATCATGATGCTGCTGCTGATGATGATGAGGATGCTGCTGCTGCTGATGATGATGATGATGATGAGGATGATGATGAGGAAGACGACGACGATGGCGATGATGCTGATCATGCTGCTGCTGATGATTGTGATGATGATCAATAGGATCCTGATAAGGATGGTGATGAGGATGATACTGATCCTGCTTTTGCTGATGATGCTGATGATGATGATGATGATGATGATGCTGTTGCTGACGATGATGATTATGACGAAGATGAGGATGAGGATTCCAATGATGATGAGGCTGATGATACTTATGATTATGACTATGATGATGATGATGATGCTGGTGCTGATGCTGATGGTGTTGATGCGTTAATTGAACGACGGTGATGGTAATGCTGATGTTGCTGGTGATGATGGTGGTGCTGGTGATGCTGATGGTGATGGTGGTGATGATGCTGGTGATGATGATGCTGCTGATGATGATGATGATGATTCTGATTATGATGATGATGCTGCTGATAATGATGATGAGGATGATGATGATGATGCTGCTGCTGATGATGATGATCAAAGACGGTGCTGATGCTGATGCTGCTGCTGCTGATGATCCTGATTATGACGATGCTGCTCCTGATGATGGTCATTATGCTGGACACGGATATGGTGATAATAATGATGGTGGTTATACGACCGATTCTGGTTATGACGATGATTATGATGTTGACGACGGTGCTGGTGATGTCGACGGTGGTGGTGCTGGTGGTGACGAGGATGTTCGCGATGACGGTGATGCTGACGGTGGAGGGTCATGAGGATGGCGATGTTGGTGATGGTGATGACGATGCTGATGCTGATGGTGATGATGGTGATGATGGTGTTGTCGCTGGTAATAATGTTGTTGCTGATGATGCTGCTGCTGATGACGATGCCGCTGGTGATGCTGGCGATGGCGACGTCTCTGAATGTGGTACATATGCTCATCATGATTCTGATGATGGTGCTGACGACGCTGAGACGGGGCACGAAGATGGGGTAATAGGAGGAGGCTGGGGAGGAGGTTGAGGCCGCATCTCCTAGCATGTTCCTCTGGCTGCCCTCAGGTGTGCCGACCATGACCGAGGCCTGCGGCCCACGGGTCTCCATCGCGCTCCTGTGTGCCTGACTTGCGCCGAGGACCAGCTCTTTTTTTCCGCGATGTTGCACGATTGTACTGTCGCTCGCGCGCCCTTTGAAATCTCCAGAGTCGGGCGTATCATCTCGAACACGCGGGGTACAGGGTGGGAGAGAGGAGTACACACAGCTTCGTTTTTCGAGCGTCCTAACCTTTGCGGCGACGAGGTGACTCAGCCCCGCTCGCTTCTTCGGAGCTCTCCAGAGTGTTCCAAGTCGATGTCGTACTGCAAATCGTAGTTGGCCTGCATGATGTACCCTTCCGTTCATCAGCCCCTCCCATTCCCTTTTCCTCCGTCCTCCCGCTGCTCGACTGCTGTCCACTCTTAGCCAAGGGAGGAAAAACCACCCGGACCGGACAATTGGCGTTTACTAAACGGCCCTGGGCGTTTACTAAACATCCCTGCCCCGTTCGATTCCTTTTTTGGGTGCGTTTACTAAACTGCTTCGCGTGTCGGGGTGGTTATTGTCGGGGTGGATTTTCTGCCCTCTACTTAGCCCAGACGCCGTCCGCCCGACCTCCGCACGCTCCCCAGTCCCGCCTGGCCGTGCTCGCCCGTCGCACCACAGACGCCCGATCAATCACCACGGACTCGATTCTGATGATCGGCTCGGCGAGCGGGGGGGATCGGTGCGGGAGGGATGAGGATGCCGAAGGTGGTGCGAGTGTTCATATGTTGCTCATCTCTTCCCTCCTCTCTCCCCTGTCTGCTCTTTCATCCATCCCCCACGCCTCCCCTTCTGCTCCCCGTCCATCCCTCTCCTCCCTCGTTCTTCCGCCCCATCCCCTCCCCTCCTCGCTGCCTACTCTCTCCTCTCCCCTTCCCTGCGCCCTCCCTTTCCCTTCCGTCCCCCCCCCCCCCGCTCTATAGCATCCTTCCCGACTCGGGTCGAGCGTGCCAGGGACAGAACGCTCCTAGCTCCGAGCCGGCGTGCGCTGGTGCTCCCGCCTTCCCCTCCCCTCCTCTCTCCTCCCTCTCCCCCCTCTCCCCCTCGCCCTGCCCTCCCCCCTCCCGACGCGGGCCGAGGAGGCCGGGTGTAACGCTGCCTGAGACCCGGCACGGCTCTGAGCTGACGTGCCTTTAGTGTCCGGGCTCCGACGACTCGGCCGTGCTGAGCCGCCGGCACCGAGATGTTTCAGTCAAGGCGCCGAGAACAGGATCACCTCGGGCTCGGGAGGGGCCCCTGTTTTCGGGCCGTTCCTCAGGCACAGGTCGCGGAGGCTCCTTGTGGCCGAGGCTCGCCGTGGCCAGACGGGCCCTTTCCGTCCCCCCCCCCGCGTTGTGCTGTGGCAGCACGGTGGCTCCATGCCTCCCCCCAGTGATGGGCCGATTCCCCACCACCACCACAGGTAGGTCGGATGAGGAGGAGGAGGAGGAGGAGGAGGAGGAGGAGGAGGAGGAGGAGGAGGAGGAGGAGGAGGACCTCCCAATCCTCCCTTCTCCCCCGTCCTACCTATGGTGGTGGTGGTGGTAATGGAAAATAGGCCCACCACCAGGAAAGACACATCCCCGACGAGCGGCCGCCCCTCTGGCGCCGCCTCTGGCGCGCGCTCCGCGCGCCAAGGACTCCACAGACCTCCGAGAGAGCAGCCATCGGTCGTTGAAAGTAGGTATTTCTGGATTCCCAGGTTCCAATCTACTTCAAGCGCCTTCCTGCTTCAACGATCGGGTGCCTTCGCTCTTCAGGGGGCGCGCGGAACCCGATCTACTTTCAACGCCTTCCTACTTCATGCTTAGACCGAGTTCTTCCGACCGATGGGTATGCTTCTTGCGTGTGCTGTTCTTCTATGTATTCCCGAGCCGCCCTTGGACGGCCCAGGCGCTCGGAGTCGGTTCCCGGGGGCTAAGAGACCGTTCTTTTCATATCTGGCGATGATCTTCTATGTGTTCCCGAGCCGCCCTTGGACGGCCCAGGCGCTCGGAATCGGTTCCCGGGGGCTAAGAGACCGTTCTTCTCATGCCTGGCGATGAGGGGCGTGACCAGGGGGCGGAGGGGGCGAGTCGCGTCACGATTCGCGCCCGGCGCTGTCTGGGAATGCCAAAAAGACTGGCGCACTCCCGGACGTCGCCAGCGCGACTCGTGATTGGGCGTTGCGTAATGGGGGTGTCATAAATGGGGGGGCGGCGAGGGTGGTCCGAAAAGGTACCCAAACGGTGCCTAAACGAGCCCCCTGGGGCTCCGGAGGGGCCCGAAAGGGGCACGAAAGGTGACCTTTTCTGACCCCCCCATTTGTGACCCCCCCATTAAGCAACGCCCAAAAAAAGACTGGCGCACTCCCGGACGTCGCCAGCGCGACTCGTGACGTGACCAGGGGGAGGGGGGGGGGGGCGTGAGGGGGGCGGGGCGGGCGGGGCCGGGTCACGGGCGGAGTCGCTAATCAAGGGCTCCCTCGAGGGCGCGAAGTTTTTCGCGCTCCGCGCTTCGCGGTCCTCGTTCCTTCTCCCCCTCCTCCTCGTCCTCCTATTCTCCCTTTGGGAGGGCGGCGCGAGAGCGCGAAGTTGTTCGCGCTTCGCGCTTCGCGCGGCGCGAAGCGCGAAGTTGGGAGCCCTAGCACTAATGGTAGAAACAATTTGGCGCCCGAGGTGGGTACGGACAAAGCGGGAACGAGGCCCAACAACATACCAGTAGCGACGGCGGTCGCTGTGGGGCAGCCGGCCGTCTGCTGCAACAGCATCCGCGAGGTCATCGAGGGCGAGGCCTGCCCAAAATGAGCAGGAGCTGCTGTCGGTCTTCGTGCCCATTCTTCCCGTACCCTTGTCGATCGTACCGAAAACGGGCTCCAAGAAGCCCAGTTCTCAAGCAGTGGCGGGGCGTCCTGGCTTGCCTAAGAATCCTATGGTTTCCACAAGACCGTTTTGTTTCAACACGTCGACTTGGTGTTATGGGAACATTGTTGTTGTTCTCAGAGCATTCTTCTGTTTTAGGAACATCTAGTGGTACGCCTATACGAGTGCCGGGACGGTCGGTCCCTGCTGAACCCGTTGACAACCCTCCCCCACCCCAGACCCTCGACGTCACGATGTTTCATAACGTCGACCTCGAGAGGTCTCGACCCATTCCCCGGTGAATCGTTTTTTGAAGGGCCCGATGCCACTGGCGAGGGGGGGAAGTGAGAAGGAGTAGGCCTTCTCAGAAAGCGGCGGGGCTCCTCAGAAGTCCTGCGGCATTATGGTACTGTTCCTGTGTGTTCGAGGAAGGCTCAGGACGCTTCTCCAAGGGCGCCCTCGAGGGCGCGAAGTTATTCGCGCTTCGCGCTTCGCGGTTCGGCTCCGATTCCTCATCCTCCTCTTCTCCCCTGGGAGGCGGCGCGAGAGCGCGAAGTTATTCGCACTTCGCGCTTCGCGCAGCGCGAAGCGCGAAGCTGGGAGCCCTTGCTTCTCAGAAGGCCGGGGGACTCCCGAGCCCTCGGAGCAGGCCCGCTCTCTCTCGCTTCCCCCCCCGGTGCGCCGCCGAGGAAACATGGCGGGAGCCTTGAGACGGGGGTCAACGCAAACGGGGGTCAGCCAGAGCGCCCCGACCTTGCAGGATCCTGCAGGGCCAGGGCCGCATTGACCCGGGTTTGGGTGCAGGATCCTGCAGGATCTTGCAGGATCCTTCGCATTGACCTGGGTTTGGGTGCAGGATCTTGCAGGATTTTGCAGGAGTCTGCAAGGCCTGACTGACCCGGGTCTGGATTGACCCGGGTCAGAGGACCCCCGAACATGGCGGCACGCTTCCGTTGTGTGTGTTTCGAGGTTCGGCGCTGCCAGAATCGCCGGAGGTCCAGTGTCGGGGAAACGTAAGGTTCGATAGGGGGCCACATGCGAACCCTGCCCCTGCCCCCCACGATTTCTGAGGGGGAGGGTGGGGTTCATTTCATTCGGGAGCTCCCGAACGACGTGAACCCCACCCTCCCCCTCAGAAATCGTGGGGGATAGGGGTAGGGTTCGCATGTGGCCCCCTACTCGAGTAGGCCGGAACTCGAGTTCGCCGACGTTTTTTGACGATCTTGTCCTGGACTCTGACGGTCCGGTTGCCGTGGGATGGTTGCAGCGGGAGCTCGCGGGGCCATCGTCATTTTCATGATGGCCCGGTCAGGCCAACCCGAGTGCCCCGTACCCGAGCTTTACGTTGATGGGCCTGCCTTCCACCGCCACCACCATAAGTTGGAGGGGGGAGGAGGAGGAGGAGGAGGATGATGAGGAGGAGGAGGAGGAGGAGGAGGAGGAGGAGGAGGAGGAGGAGGAGGCCCCCCTCCCCCTTCAACTTGTGGTGGTGGTGGTGGAGAGGAGGCCTACCATACGTCTCCCCGACACCGCGCTGCCGCCCGTGCCAGCGCGCGTGCGCGGGCGCCCGCTGCCCCCTTGGGCGGCCCCCCAAAAGGGGGGCCTCGCCGCGCCCCCGCGCCCCCGGGGAGGCCCTCGCGCCGCGCGGCCGCAGGTCCGCCCCCCCCCCCAAAAGGGCCTTCTTGGCCGCGTCGCCGTCGCCGTCGCCGTCGTCGCCGTCGCCGTCGCCGTCGCCGTCGCCGTCGTCGCCGTCGCCGTCGCCGTCGCCGTCGCCGTCGCCGTCGCCGTCGCCGGCGCCTTTCCCAGATCCAGCCGCCGGCGACCAGTCGTCCCCCCCCCCCCCCTCCAGGTCATTCCGACTCCTCCGACGCGATTCGGTTCGACTTCGACCGCGAGTCCGACTCCGATTCGATTCGAGTTGGGACTCCGATTCGGATCTCGGTTTCCCGATAGGGGCCTTGCCTGCCTGCCGGTTTCCGCCGATTCGGCTTCCCTTGGCTTGGCTGCCGATTTCTGCCGGTCCGATTCATTCCGATCGCCGGTCCGACTCATCGGTATGATTTGGGGCTCTCCTCCCCCTCCAGGGCGGGGATGGATCTGTAGCAACCGCCCGGAGGGTCGATCTTCTGGGGCCTCGGCAGGCGGTGGACGTGAAGAAATCCCCGCCTCACCCCCTCCCCCCGTCCCGCTCTCCACGCCCCTCTCCTCACCCTCGTCCTCGTCCCCTCCGCCCTCTTCCCTCCTCTTCTTCCTCTGCCTGCTCCTCCCCTCCGTCCTTCCCTCCTTCTCGTCCTCCACCCTCGCCTGCTCTGCTGCGCTGGCCACTGTGAGCCGCCTTGGCCTGGTGTTCTATTTTGGCCTGTGTGGCGTTCCGTTTGACGGGCCCGCTCAAATTCCATGCCCCCTTCCTCCTCACCCGCCCCTTTTACCGCTTCATCACCCTTCTTCCCCTCCCCTCCAGGAGGAGGAGGAGGAGGAGGAGGAGGAGGAGGAGGAGGAGGAGGGCACATGAGCGAAGCGGCGGAGGAGGAGGCGGAGGAGGAGGAGGAGGAGGAGGAGGAGGAGGAGGAGGAGGAGGAGGAGGAGGAGGAGAGAGGACACATGAGCGAGGAGGAGGAGGAGGAGGAGGAGGGAGGAGGAGGAGGAGGAGGAGGAGGAGGAGGAGGAGGAGGATGGACCATCATCAAAGAGGCCCCGGCGGCCATCCGCACGCAGGCGACCGCCAGGGCCCCAGAGGTCGAAAGGTTCCCGCGCCGCCGCGAGCACGCCGCGCAAACGCCGAGGCGACGAGGGGAGGCCTCCTCCTCCTCCTCCTCCTCCTCCTCCTCCTCCTCCTCCGAAGAAAGCCAGACAGGCATCCGTCACGACCCTGGCCTATCCCGAGGGCAAGCCAGGGGAACAGAAGACACCCCCGCGGGGACGGACGGGCCACCAGACGGCCCCCAGAGGCCGCCCCCTGGGAGGGGACACGGGCACGCGCGCCAGCACGAGCCCCAGACCGCGGCGCACGCCCCCGAGACGTGCCGAGTGGGCCGCCAGCCAGGAACCCGAGGCAGATCCAGCGAGAGGCCAGCCCCTCAGGGGTCGCCGATCCCGCCATCCACCCGGAAGAGGTACAGGCCCTTCAGGAAGTAGGCCTGCCGGAAGCGCGCGCTTCCCATGACGACGCGCACGGACTCGAGGGCACCGCCCTCGGCGTCGCTCTGGAGGACGACGTCCTCCAAGCTCACGCCGACGTCGGGGTGCCCGATCGTCGGCTCGCCATTCGCACGCTCCGAGACGCTCATCACGCGGCTGCGCGCGAACAGCCTGAAGAAGAG